GAGGCCTTTGCTGCCTATCCTCTGTGGGGCCCTGTCCTGGGCTCGCTGGTCAGCGGTCAGTCAGGGGCAGGCGCTGGGCCTGGAGGAGTAAGGCATGGCCACCTCCTGCAGTGTGGACGCGGGCCCCTGGGGGGTGGGGAGGGAAGCCTGTGCTCCTGCGTGGTCAGCTCTGCCCTGATGGCATCCTGGATCAGGGATCCCACGTCTGCAGGGTGAGAGGTCAGCTGTGCAGGAACTAGCTCCCTTAAGACTGAGCAGCGGGGGGGGGGGGGGGGGGGACAGACGGACGAGGTGCACTCGGGGCCGAGTCCCCTGTGACACGACGTGCTGCTTGTTACTTCCCCTTCTGTGCGCAGCGCCTGGAGCCGTCCCCGCGCCCAGTGCCCCGGGGAAGCACGGGCAGGGCAGGTGCGGGTGCCTACCCAAGGAGGGGCCCTGAGGGGACACCTTGCCTCTGCCCCGTCCTGTTTCATTCCTGAAGACAGCCTGGAGTTAGGAGGGTGGGGCCCCTCTGTGACCTCACTGGGACGTGGCCGAGCTCACCTCCTTGTACTTTACCATTAAAACGGCCAGTGTCTGGTGACACTTAGCCAGGAATAGGCTGTTAAGTGGGGTGAAGAGGGGCACCTCACTGTAGTGGAGGAAGTGCAGCCTGCCTTCCCAGGGCTTGCCAGGGATCGGGCTCATGGGAACCCAGCAAGGGGAGGCCGATGGGACAGTGCTCTGATGTACAGAAATGAGTTGTCACAGGTGATGTCACCTCCTGGTCCTTGAGACACAGCACTCGGGGAGAGCCCTGGGAGTGGGGACTCAGCCACCTCTGCTACTCCTCACGCCTCCCTAACGGGCTCCTGGGGGTGAAGAGATTCTCCCACAGCAGCTCATGGCTGTCAGAGCAGCCAGACCACTGGGCAACCTCTGCCCAGCAGAGCAGATGTGGCGTGGCCTGACTGCAGTTTCTGGAACTGTCTCAGGTGTGTGAGGGCTCCTTGCTGAGACAGACATTAAGTGAACATACATTTAACACATCAAAGCCCAGAAGACAAAAAATATTGGAAAAATTAACTTAAAGAGTTCACACATCATAATGCAAGTTGTTTTCCAATCTGATCTATGCTCAAATAAACACAATTTTTTTGTTACACTTTTTGTCTTTAAAATTTTTTGTTGAGGTCCTATGCCAGGTGTATAAGACAGTGGTTCATATTTGTATGTACTGGGAGATGATCACAATTAACATTTGTCACCATACACAGTCAGTCACAGAAGATTTTCTTGTGATGAATACTTTCAAGATACTCTCTTAGCAACTTTCATGTAAGACATCTGTGTTACAGTAACACACTACCAGGTGGTCACTGACATGAGGTGGTCCTCATATTACAGCATCTCCCAGCCTCTGATCAGGTTTATATACTGGCTCTGACGGATGTGAGAGCTGGACCATAAAGAAAGCTGAGCACCAAAGAATTGATGCTTTTGAACTGATGCTTTTGAATTGATGGTGTTGGAGAAGACTCTTGAGAGTCCCTTGGACAGCAAGGAGATCAAACCAGTCAATCCTAAAGGAAATCAACACTGAATATTCATTGGAAGGACTGGTGCTGAAGCTGAAGCTCTAGTACTTTGGCCACCTGATATGAAGAGCTGATTCACTGGAAAAGACCCTGATGCTGGGAAAGATTGAAGGCAGGAGAGAGCATGACAGATGAGATGGTTGAATGGCATCACCGACTGGATGGACAAGAGTCTGAGTAAGCTCTGGGAGTTGGTGAGGGACAGGGAAGCCTGGGGTGCTGCAGTCCATAGAGTGGCAAAGTTGGACACGACTGAGCAACTGAACTAACTGGAGAGTTGAGAGGCCAGATGGTTGAGTTCTGTGGTGAAGCACTAACATCAACCTGTCCCTACTGAGTTATTAGGCTCCTGCTTTTCCTAATTCAACCAATGATTCATATTGAGGACACTGTTAGTGTGCTAGTTTCTGCAAAGTGCTATAGGAACATGACTTTTTGTGTGTGTCAAAACAATAAAAACACATTGCTGCTATAAGATTAATGTTTTAAATTAATTATCATTATTATTGGGCTTCCCAGATGGCGCTAGTGGTAAAGAATATGCCTGCCAATGCGGGAGACATGGGTTTGATTCCTGGGTTGGGAAGATCCCCTGGAGGAGGATATAGCAACTCACTCCAGTATTCTTGGCTGGAGAATCCCATGGACAGGGGAGCCTGGTGGACTACAGTCTATAAGGTCGAAAAGAGTCAGACATGACTGAGCAACCTGGCACACACACATCGTTATTATTCTGGCTGCACTGCACAGCTTGTGGGATCTTAATTCCCTGACTAGGGACTGAACCCGGCCAGGCCCTTGACAGTGAAAGCACAGAATCCTAACCACTGGATCCCCAGGGAATTCCTTGAGATTAACTTTTAAAATCAAGACTGTGGGACCTTCCTGGTGGCCCCGTGATTAGGAATCCACCTGCCAAAGCAGGGGACACAGGTTTGATCCCTGATCCAGGATGACACCACAAGCCACAGAGCAGCTACACACACGTGCCACAACTACTGAGCTTGTGCTTGAGCCCAGGAGCTGCAACTACTGAGCTTGCACATTACCTAGAGTTGGTGCTCCACAAGGGAAGCCACCGCAAGGCGAAGCCTGTGCACTGCAATGAAGAGCAGCCCCTGTTCACTGCATCTAGAGAAAGCCTGCATGAAGCAACGAAGACCCAGTGCAGCCAAAAATAAATAAATAAAAAACTTTAAAAAAAAAATCAAGATTGTGTGTCAAAGGGCTCCAGGAGGTAGTGTTGACTGGCTTTGAGGTTGACCCTGAAGCACCAGCTGGAGGGGGCCAGTCAGGTCAAGGTATGGGGCAAGCAGACCCCTCTGTGAGTAACTGGAGCACAATTACAAGGCAATTCTGGGAGGCCATGTGTACCCCACCCCTCCAGGTGCTCCTCCAGAAACCTTGTGCCCAGTGAGCACTGAGTACAGGGCCACTGGCCAGTCCTTTCAGCAGCTCTTGCAGGTCCCAGACTGGGACAAAAGCCCCTTGGCAGAGTTGTGCCATGGAGTTCTGTGCCAAGCAGGGAGGGGCTTGTCCTGTAGCTGAAAACTTTTACAACCTGGAGCAAACAAGAGTTTGCATCAGGACTCCTGCTCACTTCTTCAGTCTTCCCAACTGGGAAGCTCAGCAGGCTCTCAGCAGTCACATGGAAGCCTCGGGACTTGCTGTTCTGCATGTTCCCTAAGGACTCAAGTGTGAACTATTCAGGTGTTGAAAAACTGTGTTGGGTTGCTGAGCTGTGTGCAGCAGACTAAGGTCCTCAAGCTACAGCTTCACCTACTCACCATTAACTCCAGACTTCAAATCTTCCCCCGGTACCCTGGCAGCACCCTGACTATGAGCAGATGAGCTGCACGAATAGGTCTGTCCAGAAAGAGAAGAGGATGGGGACTGTGGTCTCAATGAGAAGGACCCATGGCAGAATCACTGAAAAGTGTCTCAAAGACACGGGGTACTGCCTGATGCTCCAGAGGTTAAGAATCCACCAACACAGGGGACACTGGTTTGATCCCTGGGCACCTAGAGTTGGAGCACTGCAACTAGAGAAAGCCTTTGTGCAGCCACAAAGACCTAGTACAGTCAAAAATAAAGTAAAATAATAAACAAAGAAATCTTTAGTTAAAAAAAAAAAGACATGGAAGGTGAGAGCTAACATTGTATTGTGTCTGAAGAAATAAACCCCAGGCCAACACAAGCATTTCTTCAGCAAACATCTCCTACACAGACCCTCTGCTGCCAGAATGGACTGTGGGTTCAGTTTCAATGGACAAAGTAATTTGTGAGGTGGATAATCTCTTGCTCTCTCCCTTCCTTCTCTCCTGCCCTGCCTTCCCCACCCTGGCTCCTACTCTGTCACCTGGAAACAAAGTAGTGTGACCTTTACTTACCAAGAGCTGGGCACTGAGCTTTGTCCTGAGGCCTAACAGGGCTCCCAGCAGCTCCTCCCATTTCACACCAATCACATACCCAAAGTCTCAAATCTAGTACAAAGATTCTAATAGTATACTAGCCAACTCCACAGACACTTGCCTCTGGATCGCTGACCTTCCAGTTTAGCTGTCTGTGTCTGTGAAAGGCTAGAGATTTTAAACATGACCCTATCTTCAGAGATAAGCATCACTTCCAAGTTTACTGAGAAGAGCTTTCTTGTATTTGCTAACAACTGTACTGGTACTGCCCTTGCTTCACAGCTGCTGCTGTTGTTCAGTCGCTCAGTTGCCTCCAACTCTTTGCCACCTCATGGACTGCAGCACACCAGGCTTCCCTGTCTTTCCCTATCTCCCGGAGTTTGCTCAAACTCATGTCCATTAAATCGGTGATGCCATCCAGCCATCTGATCCTCTGTTGCCCCCTTCTCCTCCTGCCCTCAATCTTTCCCAGCATCAGGGTCTTTTCCAATGAGTTGGCTTTCACATCAGGTGGTCAAAGTATTGGAGTTTCAGCTTCAGCATCAGTCCTTCCAATGAATATTCAGGGTTGATTTGCTTCAGAACTGAGCACACACCTACTAGGTGTCAGGGCTCCAACCTTTCCCACAGGCTTGGCACTTGTGTTACACACCTCCTCTGCCCTTAACATGTTTTGTCTACCTTACCGTAATCTTGTAATTCCTCACTGAGCCCCAACCTGATTTTTCTAGTACCCAAGGGTGTCTCAAGAGGGCACAAAGCTATCAGCATCAATATCAGCTACCTGTTTACTCAGTGCAGGATACAGACCTCCGAATTTCTCATTTTGCGTCATGAAATTCTTAAAACGGTGATCAAGTTTCGCGAGAGGAATCTTGGCGATTGGCGTGAGGGTAGGAAAGGAAGGCGGTACCTGGGGGCAAAGGCTCACAGGTGGCAGATGTGTTGGCTTCGTCCCAGGCTGACCCGTGAACAGGAGGCGCCAGGGTCCAGGAGGCGGACGCTTGCCTGGCTACTTGGTGTTTTTACGACGCTCATCTGCGTGGAAGGCAGTGTGCACAGCGGAGCGCCGGCCACGGTTCCTAGCTCCACACTCTCTGCGGGCTACTCGCCACCAGCGGCCCGACCACAGCCCTCTGCGCGCCCAGGCTCCGGGCGACACGTCCGGGGCGCTCTGGAAGCCCGCTCCTAAGTGCGCGCTCCGCCCACAAGGAGGGTGAGCAGGCTCCACGCGGCGGCCGGCATTACAGCTTGGGACGCGGAGGGCGAGGCCTCCCATGGCGCACTAGCAGGCTGGCAGGCCAGAGATTCGCCAGACCCAGACAACCGCTGTTCCCGTAACAGCAACCACAATAACGCCTGCAACGCAGAGCCATATCAGCCCGCGCCGCGAGGGCTGCCGGGAAGGCATAGACGTCACTCTGTGGCCCTGGCTCTGATTAGTTACAACGCTCTGACGCTTCTGATTGGCCGGGCTCACTACCATCCCAGGGTGCTGTGGGGCACTTCCTCCTTTCCCGGCCGTGAGCCCTCAGAGGAGGTGAGTATTTGGGAGCTCGGCGCCATCGCTGTTATCCGATCCCATCTGGCTCCATCCGCCGTCCCTGGGGTCCACCTTTCGCCAGCGGCGTCGGGCCTTGGCCCGTGCTCTGTGCCCACGCCGACGGGACTCTGCCCCCGGACCTAACTCGCTCCCTGTCTTACCCGCTCCCCAGGCCTTTCGGCCGCAGCCATGGCGCCCAGCCGGAATGGCATGATCCTGAAGCCCCACTTCCACAAGGACTGGCAGCGGCGCGTGGCCACGTGGTTCAACCAGCCGGCTCGCAAGATCCGTAGGTGAGCGACCGGGAGCGAGCGCGCCCCTTCCTCCCGTCCCGTTCTCCGCTCGCCCGGCCTGCTGCGGGAGGGCGGACAGTGATCCCCGCTCGGCTTCTCTGCGCAGACGCAAGGCCCGGCAGGCCAAGGCGCGCCGCATCGCCCCGCGCCCCGCGTCGGGTCCTCTCCGGCCGGTGGTGAGATGCCCGACGGTCAGGTACCACACGAAGGTTCGCGCCGGCAGGGGCTTCAGCCTGGAGGAGCTTAGGGTGAGTGTCGCCAGCCCGTGTCCTGAGCCCCACTGGTTGTTCTAAGTGGCACACAGCCAAGTGATGACATTCTCCGGAATCGCTGCACTGCTATGATGAAAGTGCATTTGAACCCTTTTCCATCTGACGGCTGGGCCCTCCTGGTGTAGGGGGTGGGGGCCAGGGAGTTCTCGGGGCTTCAGCTGTTTCTGTCGGGGCAGGTGGCCGGCATCCACAAGAAGGTGGCCCGGACCATTGGGATCTCGGTGGACCCGAGGCGGCGGAACAAGTGCACGGAGTCCCTGCAGGCCAACGTGCAGCGGCTCAAGGAGTACCGCTCCAAACTTATACTGTTCCCGAGGAAGCCCTCGGCCCCTAAGAAGGGAGACAGCTCTGTGAGTACCTGACTCCCACAGCGCCCAGCGGGGTGAGGAGTGTGGAGGTCTCGCTGTGGGTCTAGCTGGGCTGCAAGGACAAAGGACCTGTCTGCAGCTTCCTATCTAAAGTAGGGTTGCCATGCAAAGTAGTAGAGAAAAGATACACAGTGTGGGAGAAAACCTCTGAGGAGCATCAAACTAATTGCCTGTAATGCCAGGATTCACTAAGGGCAGGACTTGGAGCCAGCTTTGTTAAAATTGAAAGTGTACTGCATGTTAGTAGTGTTTGTATGAGATCAGCAGTGCCCATCTACATTTGTTGCTGGCAGTCATTCTCCCTGCATCCTTGGTTCACGCGTGGGTGACTCTCATCTGACCGTGCCTTCCTTTACTTGATCAGGCAGGAACAGGCAATCAAACAGGGGTGACAAGTTTGGGGCTCCTTGGGAGATGAGCTAAACTCACCTGACTCCCTTCTCATTGACAAACAGGCTGAAGAGCTCAAACTGGCCACTCAGCTGACTGGACCTGTTATGCCAATACGGAACGTAAGTGGGCGTGTTGGGAGAAGGATGGATCTGGGGTCGGGTTGGAGGGATACTGTGTGGCAGCTGGGGCCCATGTTGAGTTTGTGAAAGACCTTCCTTCTTCCCTGAGGAGAGTCAGTTGCATCCAAACAGAGGGACTCCTTAAGGAAAGCTTTGTCGTCCTCACTTGCTACCTTTTCTGTAGGGTCCTTTCCACTCCTTGATGTCTGTGGGAAGCCCAGGCTGGAGGCAGCTCTCCATGCGTGTTTGGTGATCCTGTAGCCTGACCAGCAATTGACAAGGCCCTTGAGGCTCCTGGGAGTGGGAGGTGGGGTGGGCCTGAACCTCTACACCCACTTTGTATCCAAGCCCCACCCACCCTTCACATGATTTGGGCACTAGGTTCTGAGTTGGGGGTTACTTTCAACCAAGGAGGTACTGTCCTAATCTTTTGGTGGCCTCCAGTCAGCTTTACTCTGGTGGGCGGATTCCCCTCCAAGGCCTCTCAGTTTGTTGACAGTTTGCTGGGCTCCCTTCTAGGTCTATAAGAAGGAGAAAGCCAGAGTCATCACAGAGGAGGAGAAGAACTTTAAGGCATTTGCTAGTCTCCGCATGGCCCGCGCCAACGCCCGGCTCTTTGGCATCCGGGCAAAAAGGGCCAAGGAAGCCGCAGAACAGGATGTTGAAAAGAAAAAATAAAGTGCTGTTGGCAACTTATGATAAACCTGCAGTGTCCATGTGACCTTCGTTGTGTAAGGAGCAAGGGCCTGGGGGGACCTGAGGTGTGTCTGACCTTTGTCACAACAGAGTTGTGAGGGAAGCGCTTTGGTACCTGGGAGGCTTGTGCTTAGTGAGTGTTCTTGTCTGGACCCTCCAGCCCAGGAGGTGCTGTGTATTCCCATTACTATTAAAATACTATTTTCACATCTAAAGCTAACAGTTTATAAGACGCTGATTTAACATGTACACTCAGTGTATTGAAAATTCACAACCCGTCAAGGATCAGCTGGTGTGGAGGCCTGGGGATTGAAGCCTCATTTTCCATCCATGAAAGAGGGCTCATGGGGCGCTGCCTCTGGATGGCCCAAGCCACTGGTTCCATTTGCTTTGTGTTCGGGATCCTGGTGAGAAGTTGGGATGATCCCCCAGGTCAGGTGACTGCCTTCCTGTTGGAGCCTTGGCTACAGTGCTCAGAGTGGAGGGCACAGAGGCCTCAAGGTGTGCAAGGCCAGGGGCTGCTGTGGTTAGTGTCCACTTGGGCAGAACTGTGGGTTTCAGGGATGGATAAACATAGTGGGTGCACTGGTAACATCGCCTGTACCTGTAGGGGTGCTCCGGTGATGATAAATTGTAGGAGGCTAGCATTGGTTTGGTGGTGGTTATAAAGTTTAGTTTCCTTTGTTCTGTGTTTCTTCCTTGATTATTTTAAGTTACAGGCTATTTTAAAAGATTTGAAATTTATCCTGATTTCAGCTGAGATTACTTAGGCTTTTTTTTTTTTGGTACCCCTTTAAGTTGTTAGTCTTTCAGTCGTGTCCAATTTGTTGTAACCCCATAGGCTATAGCCCGCCAGGCTCCTCTGTCCATGGGATTCTCCAGGCAAGAATACTGGGATGGGTAGCCATTCCCTTCTCCAGGAGATCTTCCTGATCTAGGGTCTCCTTCTTTGCAGGTGGACTCTTTACTCCCTGAGACACCTATGCAAAAGAGCTGACAGTCCTCCTTTATCTAGGTCTCACATAGGTGGTTGCACTTAATATTTTTCTTGTGTGCTTTCAGGATATTACAGGGGGAAAATAAGGTCTTTGTTTCATAAAAGATCCAGATGTAAGGAGAATCAGTGAGAAGCTATGACCTCCCTTCTCCAATCTCCTCCTCAATCCACAGTGGTTCGTGCCCAGTTCTAGGAATTTACCAGTGTCAATATTCTTTTTTGCTGCCTCAGCTGCTTAGAACCAGACCAGAGGACAAGGAGTGAGCTGACACAGGGCCAAGCTGGCATTGATCATGCTGGGGACTGTAGAAGCTGATGACGAGCAGGTGCTGGGTGGAGAAGTTAGAAAGTGATGATGCAGGGAGTTTTCAGGATGGAGAAGAGGAACTCAGGTGTTGGGCACCCACTGTGTCCCAGGAACACAGCAGTAACCAAAGCAGTTTTAGCTCCACAAAGTCTTAACACAAAACTTTGTGGAGTTTTCTTTCTGTAAGTCCTTTGGCTGGTTCACCAGTGTGTGGGCACATGTCAGCCTTGGGTTGCAGCAGTGACTGGCCACAGTCACCAGGCTACAGGAGGGCTGGCCTTCCAGATTCTTTGAGCCCACCCTCCTGGGAAAGGCTCAGGGCTTCTTGGTCATTGCCTGTGGGGCAGTGGGAAGCTGTGTTAGACTTTGGTCCTGCCACCCTCCAGCTCTGGTGCTTTAGTTGGGCTACCCTCCTTTTTAAGCCCCAGTTGCAAGTGTACGAAACACACTGCATGGGTTGTTACTGCCTCTTTGAAAATTTCACCAGGAAGGATGGTGCTTCCTGGGGAGCAGGAGGCAAAACTGGGTCACTGTTGAAAGGGACTGAGGGCAGAGGGTCTGAGCACTATCCAAGAGGCTTCACCAAGAATATCTTCAAAGCCCTCACGTGAGTCGGGTACAAAACCAGGTCTTCGTCACCTGGAGGTGCCCACCCTTTGGACACTGCTGCTGCCTGTCTCCCTGGCTCACGCTGCCCTCCAGTCATTGCACGGACTGGAAGCACAAGGGTGTTCCCCTCCTGACCTAGCCACTGGTTCACCATCTTGTGTCTGTCCTGTCCCTTAAGTGTGGGCTGGACCTGGCAGCTTGCTTCTTAAGCAAAGTAGCATGCTGAGATTGGGTTAAAAGGTGCAGAGATCTCACTCGCCCAGTGAAGCAGGTCACCATCTTGGTAGCAGCAGTATCAGTATCAGGTGCCCGGGACTCCTAGTCAGGGGAGTCGAGAAGCAGGGCAGCTCGTCCTGGACAGTGTCATGTGTTCCAGCTGGCCCTGGGCAGGTTCACAGGGGCTGCAAGGACCGATTTAACGGTGGAGCGGCTCAGATGGCCCAGCCAACCACAAGCACTCCATGCCCTATGGTACTCTGTGCCCTGGAGAGTCAAGGGAGGTGAGAGAACTGGGTTCTGGGTAGGGAGTGAGGTCCGGGTAGAGCCCCACTGCTTTGTGACCTCACAAAGGCCATCCCCCTCTCAGCCTTGGCAGTGACACTGAATGTTCAGACCAGCTGTTTGCAGAGTGGGCAGCAGACCCCTGGGGGGAAGGGTGGGAGCTGGGGGCTGATTGTGGGAA